AAGTTGTCTTTATAACTTACTGTTTTTCAATCGAATAATAACAAAAAAGATCTCACTTGTATGTTCCCTGGCCGTGTCTCTTGCCATGTGAATATTCTCCTTCATATACATCGCCATTAGGCAGCTTAGCTTTTCCTTTTCCATGTCTTTCCTCTTCTTCATTTCGATCACCTTCATATTCTCCTAAATAGGGGACTCCTTCGTCCTCAACGCTCTCTTCATCTGACGACATTTTATTTTCAAAACACTTTCCTGCTTCAGCTCCTCTCAACTCTTTTTACCGTGGTTTCTGTTTATAAGCCGTTTCTAGGGCATAATATTGAATTCAAAGATTTGAATAAATATTCGCTCTTATGTCAATATAGATAGGCGGCCATTGGTTGATAGAAAGGACGAGACAGGTTATTGTTTGCATAAGAGCTTCTTGAGCTGCTAAACTAAAGCAGATTTGCATAACGCATCAGCGTGCCTACTAGATTAGTTACAAAAGCCTCCAAAAGCGAAAAAAGTTCGACTTTGGAAAATTTTAGTACCACGGAAATTTTTACTCCACAGTTTCCTTGAGAAGAAGATCCGTCGTACAAGAAACTTCGCTTGATCATAGAGCTGATCTACAAATGCCGCACTAACAAACAAACCGTGTGAAAACACATTCATTGCGTATCGCTCGGGCTGTCGACTCCAGATACGGAGCTTCCCGATGGAGCTAACGCACTAGACTTCAAATGCGCATAATAAATTCAGAGTTTATTTGGGTCTTGAAAAACAAAAGGTTGATCGAGATTTTCCGTTGCATAAAATTTCAATTTGAAAATTATCTGCGAACAGTTCAAAAGATCAAAACTGTTCTTTGTGATGGGATAGAGCTATAATCATACCCGATATAGACTAAGAACTAAAATATAAATGATGTGATAACATTAATAATAATGGTAACTGATAACAAGAAAAAAAATTGTAAATTTCGATGATCGCGGGGGCATGATCGAAAACTGGGAAACTGGGCTCTAAATCTTATTTAATGTTGTTGCTATGCAACCACGCCGAAGAACAATTGTTACAATATGGCGGACGATACAGGAGAAGGTTTCATCTTCCTTCGATTTTGAATACTGGTACCCCTGTAGAGCGCATCAAATCGGCTGCAGCAGCGATGTAAATTATGATTAAATTTAGTGAGGAAGTTTTCATGGACAGAGTGAGGTGTTTGTCGGAGAGATTGCTGTAATTGCTCTTTCGTTTTTTAAGTAACTTGCCTCTAGAGAGCCGAAATTGTGCGTGCTCCAAAATAGTGGAAGAATGCATTCAAGGGCGCACATGTTACTCGAGAAAGAGTGGTTTAAATTGCAAAAGGAGGAACTTCCTTGGGTAAGTTTCAATAATCACACGTGTACCTTCTAACATTATGCAGTGAGCGTTGTAAATTTAGTATGTATTGTGCTCATTTGAAGTTTATTTGTGTTCATTGCGATCGTATCGTGTTGTTGTTCACATTTATATGTCTTACTTCCTTCAAATGATGTGTCACGAGTCTAGAGGTAAGAATTCGATGTAGTACACTCATGTACAATGTTAATTGGTCCACGAAACGAGGGATACTAGTCACTGTTAACTAAAGAATTTAAGGTTTCTGTTTTCACCTAAGTGAATACTGCTAGTTTTGTTATCACTCCCTCGTTCTTAAAATTTGAGCTTGCCGATGAAGTGGACCTCAGTGATCAT